AGTCACCAACAACAGCTCTTTTCAGAACTACACTCACCCGGACGATCACACTATACGAACTACTGATACTCCTGGGTTCAAACCATTTACTGTGTTGATTGATATCATATTCATCATTTTGATCAAATACCCACAACCTGGTTTCAACAAAGATATTAACATCTGCTATCTTAAGATTAATATCATTTCTCACATCTGATATATGTTTGTGCAGTAAACGTGTATTAGGAGAGACCATCTTAACACATTCATCTCCAATTTCTTTGAGACATACCAAAGATGGAGACAGGCAAGCCACTGTTCGTAACCTCTGCATTTCAGTCTTAACTTTATTGCTCACGGTTATCTTCTTTTCATTGAGATTCTTTATATGCAATCCCTCAATTGCAGTGACTCTGCTTAATGCAACATAATGAACATGGGGAAGAGCTCGTAGAATACTAAGATCAACTATAACCTCAGTTTCAGTGTCACCCTGAGAACGATGAATTGTTTTTCCAGCAGATGGCCGTAAAGGAAACTGTTTTTGAATCACTTGGACTTTAGCTCTCCCTAAAAAAAAGTTTACGCAAACAGGTTTTGTTGGTGTCCAATGCTGCTGGATAAGACCACTATAAAGATATCTGTTTTCGTTTCGAGTTTTTTCTCCAACTTTAGAATGGTCAAATTCAATCCAAACAATTCCATCAGGATGTTCTGAACTCAGTAGACTGATATTTCGAACTACACCTGCACTACCATTTGTAAGCCCATCATCTAACCTGATATTTTGACAAACCTCAATCCTTTCATTTTCTGCAATTGCAAGATTAGCAGTTAACTGCATTGTTTTTCGTGGATCATCTGGAACCTGCCTCAAAAACCGCTCCTTTAATTCCTTAGACTGGACACCAATTACACTATCAACTGCTTTCACAGTATATTTTCTACCAGCTGCAGAGTTATAAACTGACCTGTTGAACTCGTTAACACTGTTGTTTTGAATGAATAGGTGTGGAGTATGTCTAGGGTAGTTCACTTGAGGATCTTCAATAACTCTTGCTCTAAGTATATGCAAATCATTCTCAGTGTGAATTCCCTCACGCAGTCGATTAAGAATTTCTGCAAACTGACGACTCTCTCTTTGACGCATAATTTCATGCAATTCAAACATCTTAAAGTGTTTCTGTCAAAGATTACTTGCTAAACAACCATAATCAGTCTCCAAATCTTCGAAAACATACCCATCAAACACTAGTTGAAGTTGAAAAAGATCTCCAATTGCAATAACACTCACTGCTCCAAAATCGTTAACTGTACTAATAATATCCTGCAGTCTTTTGTTAATCTGAATATTAAACATGGAATTTCCAACCATGGACACTTCATCACTAAAAATTATTTTCAAACCAGCAAATTTACATCTCAATGAATTTAAACGACTGGAATTTAGCTTCTTGTACACTTTTAAAGACTGATTTGCTGGCACTGACAATGCAGTATGGATTGTAATTCCTTGAATACTGTAGACAGCCTTACCAGGTGGAGCAACAAGAATAGCTCTTATCTGATGAAAATCATCTCCAGTTCTTGTGTTTAAATACTTGTTTAAATACTTAGTCAAGTGAGATTTACCCACTCCAGCACCACCAGATAGAAACTAATAAAATGGCTCATTGTTTGTCTTCACAAGATGTAAAACATGGTAGATAAAATGTCAGCTGTTCAATATTTAGAGAGCGAATAGCTTCCCTATAATCTTCATCTGGCAGTTCATCAAATGAGATATTACGTTCATAATTATCTATACTGGAAGGGATTACCAGATCATTAGAAAGATCATAGTTCTCAATTTCCTCTGTGGGGTTTACACTTCCACATTCAGTTTCTGCAGAGTCATTCAGTTCAACATGTTGTGCGTTTGGAGCTATGCAATCCCACATATCGTCATTATATTCCACAGTTTGTATGTCATCTAATGCTTGGTCCAGTTGCTCAATCAATGGTGCATACTCAGCCATTTGTTTGTTTATCTGTTCTTTTAATATCTGACACCGCGCCATGTAACTGTCACAGTTTCTAAGCAAATCAGTATTTTCATCTCTCCAAGCAGTAAATAGCATTAGCAGCTCACGATAGTGCTTTTCAGGGTGGTTGTCTTTACTAAACCAAACACTTCTTATTACCCTAGCCTTTGAGCGTTTCTTAGTTTGTTTTTGGTTCTTCTGTGTTGCTAACTCATTACTACTGCTTATATCTGCACTATGAACATCATCTTCATTATTGTAATCATATATTTCTAATGGCAATCCATCAACATCAGTATTTTTGCATTTTTGTATATGATTAAATTTTAACTTCCTGTTATCATACCAAGCTGCCCAATCAGCTAATGTCACATTCTCTAAACAATATGGTCTCTTAGTATACCTTTTAATCAAGCCACCTGAATCAATATCTTCAGACCTATCTTCTAGCTGCTGAATTGATTTTAAAAGACGCACTCGTTCATCAGGTAAAGCTGTATTAATGAAAACTACCTCACGGGAAGAGCGTCTCATTGGTAGCTGAAGTACAATGTACACTGCTTCCTGTGCACTTATTTCAACACTGTTTAGGAATTTGTTACCAATGTCACACACTTGTTGTTTAATGCTTAAATTTCCTTCTCGAGCTTCCTGGCATGCTTTTCTCAAAAGCTCACTCATACCTCTTTGAGCCTTTGATATGTAAGAAACAACATACATTGCACAGGAGTAGATATCTAGGATGAACTGAACATCCATATTTGCTCTCCATGCAAGCTAGCAGTGCTTATTATAATTATTGATTCTAAGCTCATTGGGATTTCTTTTTAAAAATACTGTTGCCTTATTTAAAGAAAATCTAATAGCAAGAAAATACTCTTGTTCTGTGACACCAAGTTTTTTAAGAAGTTCTTCAAATGAGATATTTTCTCCTTCCCTCATATCATTAAGTTGTTCACTGATTTGTTTCCAAGTTGCTTTGTGCTGATTCAGGACAGTAATTTCATCAATATCAGTCAAAGGATACAATATCTCAGTGCTTTTCATTGGAGGTTGTGGAAAATGAAATCTGCACTGTTTCTGAAACTTCTTTTTACAAGGAAACGAATGCTTATGTTCCTGACGAGAGACTAATCCATCTAACTCAGAATTTCTTGTAGATTTTGAACAAGATGTACTTTTATCAATGAAATTGCAAACTGTTCCATCCAAATCTTCCTCAAGCTTTGGTGCACCTTCAATCCACAACAGCATATGAATATGTGGTGAGCCACGCTGCTGAAGCTCAACCCGATAGAACCAATCTTGTATCCTCCCTAGAGGTGCACAGTCACTTTACAAAAATTTTACAATAAACTACTGAACTTGGAAATCAAAATGTCTTGCACATGTAACTGGATCACTTTGTATTAACCTTACTTTTTTGTCCCATAACAATGCGTCTAATTCATCATTTGTGTACATTCTATGACCAATCAATTCACCCAACATCTTTTACAAATGATTCCACTTTGTTTCAGCTGCAGTAAAAGCTACAAAATAGTGTTGCAGATCCGAGTTGCCTTGTCATGGCAAATAAATCTTTCTTAGCTTCTTCAAAGTATGGTGGAGAACCTCTAAGATCCCCTAGAAATTTGAAGCCTTCATCCAGATGTAGTAATTTGTCACCTGCTGTTAGCCTTTTTCCTTTTGTTTTGTGCTTCCGCAATTTTCGATACACTGAGCAACCTACGATCAGAACGCTTAACTCTGATTTGCAAATGTCGCTGTAATGCACAGGCACCTTTCTGTCCTTATTATCTGCCCTTGCCTGACCACAGAATATGCCAGGATATGCCAGCTCTTCACAAAATTGGTCTTTAAAAACACTTATTGGATGACTGCCTTCACCTGGAGCAAAGTTCAAAACTTTTTCCCGTTCACAATCTTCTATAAAGTTTGGGGATGTTAACATTGTACCTAAATTGCCAGCACATATTTCTCCCTCATCCATCTCATTCCAAGGATCCTCTATTTCCTTTTCAGTAACACAAGAATCCTTGTCCAAATCAGAAACCTCTCTACAGTAACCAGAAAAATACAGATCTTGTCCACTAGTTGAGCACCCCGATATGTCAAAAGTTTCTGGCACACCCACTAATACTTTGAGAGAAATACAAGTAGTGTTGATTGATCTATATTCTTTTGAACAAAATTCTACAAGAACAACATTTTCTGGCTCAAGAATTTTATACCTGAACAATTTTATCACAGAAGTAGTACTTACATTAGCTGTTACTTCACAAAATTAAGTGCACAAGTCATCCTTCAATGGTGGAAGATAATGTGTAATAACCATATGCATGGTAAAAAGTACTTCATCTTTTTCCCAGGCACCACACAAGGAACCAAACAATACCACTTCATTACCTGTACAGTTATTCTGATAAAAAAAACTGGCAAGCAGTTACTTTCCTCATGACCTTCACTGTCACTTTCCACTTGATGATTGCACAACATATGACTTTGTAAATTCATACAGTCTGTTAATACTTGTTCACAGTTGAAACAAATAAAACATTTATCGAAATGAAATGAAAGCAATCCATAATTTTCTGATAAAGATTGAATTGTGGTATTCTGTAAATGAGACACTACAGCACCACCTGTTTCTGTAAGGTACCTTGAACTACTACAAGCACTTTTGTTATGCATCTGTATGGAATTTTCTTTACCCCCAGCAAACAGAGCATTCCAATCTGGGTTCAGTTTGATGCTTTCTTGCTGAAACAGGGTACCATTTTCAGTGAGCCACTTAGCTGCTTCAAAAACTTTGAATGGTCTTATATTTTGAGAAAGTACAAAGTTCTTATATTTCAATCTTCTCTTAAGTTACACTTTAATAGTTTCTGTTTCAGTCGACACTCTAGGTAAAATATTCACAGTATTAAGAACATCAGCAGGGACATTTACTATATTGCCATGAATTTTAAACTGCTTTCCTCTAGCAGCTTCGTGTATCTTTTGCAAGATAAGTCGTGGTGATACAAGTCTCCACTCCAGTTCTGTCAGGTCTAAATGATCGGGTTTGTGTGGAAAACTCATTTTATTTTCAACAGCACATGGAGGAAATTTATTCTTCTTCAGGTGATTGCAACAAGTGTGACAAACCCAATAATCTGTATAGCTTTGCTTTCTTTCTCTTATGCATAGTTTGATAGCTTCATTATCAAGTCTCAGTAAAGTCTCAGCTCTGATAACACTATGTTTGTACCATAATTGATCACAACAAATGCAGACAAAC